TTTCCATCTGGAAATGCATGGTAGTATATGCAAACACAAGTAACTGTGATTTTAAATTTTTAAATATCTTAGAGTGTTTCACCACATAAAAATAATAGAGGATGAAGAGATGTAAAAACTTATTAAGAAAGAACTGGCAACTCCATAAAAGTATGTGATAAACTTAATACTCACCCATCATAAAACTCATAAAAATCTATAGACAGAAGAAAAATATCTTAACTACATAAATGTGTGCTGAAAACTTATAAGAAGCATATTAAGAGGAAAAACACCTAAAGTATATATTTTTTTAATTTGTATTTTTTTATGTGTTTGACTTATACTGCCTACATGTGTGTAAGTGCACCCATGCCATGCAGTGCCTGTGTAGGCCAGAAGAGGGCGTTGAATTCTCCTGGAACTGGAGTTACAGATGATTGTTAGTCACGATGTGAGTGTCAGAAATCAAACCCAAGCCTTCTGCAAGAGCAGCCAGGGCTCTTAAGCACTGAGCCATCTCTCCAGCCCTTAAGGCTTATTCTTTAAGTCAGAAACAGCACAGGTAGTCTGACCATGGTCATCCCATGCTGTACTGAAGGGTGAGCCAGGGAAATAAGACAAAAAGATGGGAATAGAGGTGAGGAAGATGGGGAAAGAAGAGCTATAAATCCAAGCTCAAATGAGTCCATCCAGGCAATAAAAGTTTACCGTACATCTTAACGTGTCTCACCCTTCTCTTGGCACTGAAGCAAATAAGAGAGATCAAAAATGTCCTTTTTATAAACAAAAAGGTTTCTGAGCGACAAAAGTAACAAATCAATAGGGCTTCCTTATACTGGTAAGCAAAAATTAACAAAACTATGGCTTGAAAATCCAGTCAAGTAGATATTTTTGATGTTCTGCTATATTGTTAGAGACGCTGCCATGGGATTAGGGGCAGGAAAACATACTCTACAAAGAGAGGTAGAAAGATAGATACACAAGAGGTAAGGGCAAGTTCCGGAAAAGAAAAATAAGGTGCAGAAGGGCTGCTATTTTAGTTAGGGCAGACAGACTAAATCTGTAACATTAAAATAAATGGCATCTTAAATAATTAAAAGTAAGAACCAATGTAACAAAGGACCCGTTCAACCTGGAAAAAACACAAAATTTTGTTGATTGACCGTTGACATAAAAGAACAGTAAACAGAGAGATATCTCAAGTACAAGATATGAAAAGTCACAATCGTAATGATGAAATTTATCCAAAAAGTAATTAATTAAATGTATTAATTCCACCTCAGTCAATAGCTATTATTTCATCTATATAAAATATAAAGCAGAATGCACCATGTAATATAGACTTTATGGACAAATATAAACTAAAAATTATATAAATGAATGTAAATGATGCATATAAAATTCAAGATATGCGTATCTCTGTGTTGAGAAGGTAAAGGACTGTGGTTGGGAAATTTTGCTACCCTGTAATACTTATTTAAAATTAACTTTTAAGAGCTGAGGTTACAGCTCAATGGAAAGATACTTGCCTTGCATCCATGAGGCCTTAGTTTCAATATGCAGTACTGCCATTTTTTAAGTAAATAAATTAGTCAAATTAATTTTCCTTTTTTTAATTTTTAATTTTTTACTGAATTTCATGTATTTCATAGAGAACATTTTAATCATCTTTATACCCCTTCCCCACTGGCACCCTTCCAGCAGCCTTCCCACCCCGGGATTCATATAGTCTGTCTTTTGTGTAAAGGCCTATCATGTCATGTCAAATTAGTGTTCGCAGACGTCCTTCAGTGCAAGTTCATCCACTGGGGTCTAGTCAGCCTATCTAGAGTCCCTCCTTTGAATACTATGAGGTACTCCTCACCCAGCAGTAGTCAGCAGCCAATAATTCTTTGACGAAGATTGGGGCCTGCTGTTCATTTCCACAGTTCTGTGCTGGGTTTTTGTCTGCTTGAGTTTGCATGGTTCCTCTGCATGCTGATAGGTTCAAATGAAAAGGGTCCCAAGAGCATGTAGGACTCTCCTTGCATATGGTCATGCACCTCCTCCCTGGCTCTGACAATCTTCCTGCCATCTGTTCTGCAGTGCTCCCTGGATTTTAATATAGGAGTCCTGTCCGAGGACCTACACTCTGTAGACTCTTGTTCTCTGCGTTTTGGCCATTTGTGACCTTTTGTGTTCCCGACCTTCTGTTGCCTGAGGGAGCTTCATTGATAAGAACTGAAAGATGCATCAGTGTTATTTTTATCTGTCGTTCTATGTTCTGTGAGCCTTACGTGTAGAGGTTGCATTGTAGATGCACCACTTAGGCATGGGTAATTCATAGGCAATCTTTGTGTATGGCCAGTTGTGGAACTCTATAATAATCTCTGTCTGTTGAAAGAGAAGGTTTTTGGATGGGTGGTGACTGGTATACTTGTGTATAAGGATTTAGTGCTAGGATCCACAAATGAGGGAGAACACACATTATTTGATTTTACTGAGTCTGTGTTACTTCACTTAGTATAACAGTCTGTAGTTCCATCCATTTACCTCAAAATTTCATTATTTCTTCTTTCTATACCTCTGAGTAGAACTCCACTGGATAAATGTTCCACATTTTCAATATCCACTCATCAGTTGAGGGACACTTAGGTTGCTTCCATCTCTTAGCTATTGTGAAAAGAGCAGCAATAAACATGGATGTACAAGTGTCTCTGCAATAGGATGAGTCTTTTGGATATATGCCAAGGAGTGGTATAACTGGGTCAAATGGTAGGTTCATTTTTAGTTTCTTAAGAGTTCTCCACACTGCTTTCCATAGGGGCTGCAGGACTTTGCAGCCCCACCAGCAGTGGATGAGTGTTCCCCTTTCTGCACATCCTCGCCAGCATTTGATATAATTTATTCTCTTGATCTTAGCCAGTCTGACTGGGGTAAGATGAAATCTT